AGATCTCGACGACGAGGGCCCCTGGCAGGGGCGGGTCTCCTGCGGGCCCCCCCTGCCCCGGCCCGCGGGCCCGGCGATCCCGGGGTCGATCTACAAGGCGCGCCGCGCGAAGGCTCCCACGGGCATCCCGCTGAGCAGGGGGGCGAGGGTCTTGGCGCCGCGCGACAGTGGCCCCATCGGCGTCGCGTCTTTGCCAGGCGGCGCCGCCGCTGCCGCCGCCGCCCCCGGGGGGAACTGGCGCGAGAAGAAAGCCGAATGGAGATCTTCGCTGTCGACTACGCGCGCGCGCGCCCCTGATAGGGCAAAGCGGCGGGGCGACCGCGGAGTGCAAGTTGGCGCCGGGGCCCGAGGGCGCGCGCGCGGCCAGGGCGCGCGACGGCGACAAGGAAACGGAGGCGCTGGATGCTGCGTGCGAGACGTGGCCCAAGAAGAAGCCGCCGAGCCATGGCGCGCCGCTCAAGAGGCCCGCGGCCGCGAAGAAGCCCGCGGGGACATGGCGCGAGGAGGGGCGCGCCCCTTCCGAGCAGGAAGACAGCGGGGGGGAAGGGGAAGGGGCGGGCCGAGCCCGACGAGGCCGAGGGCCCCGAGGCCCCCGTGGCCATGCCTAAGCCAGACGCAGCGGCGCCCCCTGAGAGGAAATATGTAGCGACGTGGCACAAGAGCAACTCATGCAGCGCCGCGCGGGAAACTTTCGGCCACGAGCACCAGGCGCGCGCCATCGGGAAGAAGGCTGACTACTACAGCATGGCGAAGAAGATCAAGGCGGCGGAGAAGCTCGTGGAGTTGCTCCACGACGAGGAATGTGATCTGCTTGCGCAAATTTCCGCCATCATATGACGCGCAACGTGACAAAACATGACAGGACATCACAGAGCGATCGGTTGCCTTGGAATAAGGCTACACGGCGGCACCACATGGCGGGGCGCGCGTCTTTGCGGGTTCAACCGCGCCCTCTGCGCGCGGAAGGGCATCGAGATCCCGGAGTCCTTGCGAGGCGTCGCCGTACGGTACACATGCAAAGGCTCGGACAGAAGCGACGCCGGCGCCGTTCCTGCGCGGCGGCTGGCGCGGCGGACCGACCGCGGGCAAATTGTTCTCGGGGGCGGCATTTGCGCGGGTATATGCATTCGCGCCTGCGCGCAATGCAGGCGAATTTCGACCGCGGCGGGCGGCGACGAGCGCGCGTTGGCGACGGCGACGGCGACCGTTGCGCGCGGACTCAGGCACGCACGCACGCGCGCGCATTGCCGCGCGCATGTAGGCGCGATGCGCATCAGTCAACATGTTGAAAGATGTATAGTCGCAATTTCGTGTCATATGTATAATTCAGCTTGCAATCGACAGCATGTTCAGTTTAGTTTGCCCAACAAATGCGTTCAGTCTGCTATTCGGCGGAAGCGTCGCGACAGCTTGTTCCGCCCTCCTGCGCGGGGGGGCGCGGGGCAGAGGGGGTTGCGGAGAGGGGGCGCCGCGGCCCGCATTGGAGGCGCCTCAGGCCCGAGAGGCCGCGCCGCCTCGCCGCCGCGAAGGGCGCGCGCGCGCTGCGGCGCCGCAGGGGGGCAGCATGCAGCCGGCCATGCTTGTCGCCGCGCTGCCGCTGGCTCTGCAGACCAGCAAGGCGACGGCGCGCGCGGCGGCGGGGGAATTGAGGGGGCGGGGGGCGGAGGGGGCGACGGACAGGACGGCACGAGCAGAGCTGGGAGGCGGTTGGGGGGGGGGGGGGGGGGGGGGGGGGGGGGGGAAGGGAGGGGGGGGGGGGGGGGGGGGGGCGCAGCGGGAGGCGGGGAAGCGGGGGGGGGGGGGGGCGGGGGGGTGCGAGGGGGGGGGGGGGGGGGGGGGGCAAAAGGGGGGAGAGGTGGGGGAGGAGGAACGGGGGGGAACAAGGGGAGGAGGAGAAGGCGGGGGAAGGAGGCAGAAGAGGGGAGAAGGAGGAAGGAGGATGGGGCGATCGAGAGAGAGATCCGCCAGGCGATGGACGTCGGCTGGGAGGAGTCGGCTTGCAGGGGGGGCCGGGCGCGGGGGGGGCGCCAACGACCGCGCCGATTCCATCGCAGCCCGCTGCCCCTCCCCGGGACTCTATGGAATCCTCCAGGCCCAGTCGGCCTCGCAGTCGGCGCCGGCGTCGCGTCGCCTGCGAGCGCCAGCTGGCGGGCGGGCCGACCTTGCTGCGCATGTTCGGCGCGAGAGACCCGCGCGGGCCTCGCGCAGTGCCCGCGCCCCAGGGCGACGGCCCAGGCCCTTGTAGCTTCCCGCGCTGACGCGATGGCCTCGCGCTCGGCGCAGGAGCGGGCGCCGCCGACCGTTCGGTTCGGCCCCGCGCACATCTCATGCGAGAACGCAAAGCCCCCCATGCTGCTCGCGCGCTTTGCGCGCTGAGCAACGCGATGCAGTTGCGACGGCCGCGCGTTCAATTGGAAACCGCAACGCAAGTTTCCATTCCCGCGCGCGGGGCGGGGTATGTACTTACAGATGCGCCGACGGTCGAGAACTCGCGCGCGCG